ACTCATCTTTCTCCTCCTAACCCTCCTTTCTTCCTAATTTCTCTATTACTGTCCAGGGTATCATTATCCTTCCAGTCACCCATCCTCACAACCTAGGTATCATACTTGACTCCTTATTCTTTCTTACCCTCCACATACAAACTGTTGCCAAGTTCTGTAGATTCTACTTTTTCAACATCTCGAATTTGCTCCCTTCTCTCTTCTGACATGGCCACTGCCCTGGTATAGGTCCACATCACTTCACACCTGGTTGATTACAATTGCCTTCTAGTTGGTCTCCCAGCCTCATCTTTCCCAACTACATTCCATCTTCCACTCAACTATCAAATGCTCTTCCTAAGTGCAGGTTTGCCAACATCACTCCTATTCAATAAACTCCAGTGGTTCTCTATTGCCTCTGGGATTAAATATAAAATCGTCTTTTTGGCTTTTAAAGCTCTTCATAACCTCATCTCTTTTTACCTTTCCAATATTCTTCCACTTTACTCCTGTCCATATATTTTATGTGCCAGTGACTCTGACCTCCTTAATACACTTTGGGTGATGCTCCATCTTCCAACTCAATCCCCCATGCCTTGAAATTCTCTCCCTCCTCACTTCACCTCCTTCCTTCCCTGGATTCCTTCAAGTCTTGACTAAAATCTCACCATCTGCAAGAAGCCTTCCCAGTTTCCTCCCTAATGTTAGTGCCTTCCATCTTAGATGATCTCCAATTTATACTGTATATATCTTGTTTGTACATAGTCATTTGCATATTGTCTCCTTCCCCCACAATTAGATTGTGAGCTCCTTGAGGGCAGGGACTATTTTTTTTTCCTTTTTTGTATACCTTTGCCTGGTATATAGTGGGCACCAAATAAATGCTTGTTGACTTGGCTTGACTATACCTCATTGTTAGCAAGACCCCAGAGAAATAACATAAACCACTGTTTTATTTTTTTAACTTTTTTTCAAAGTAAGTTTGCTTCTGTGTCTCTAGTCATTTCTTTCTTACCCCTCAACCTCTCAGTTAAACTCTTCTCTATAACAAAGAAAAACAATTAAGTGAAAACCACTAATACAATAATCATGTCCAACAATATATACAATTTCCTGCCTTAGTAGTCCCCCACCTGTCCTCTATGAACGCAAGCAAACCACTGTTTACTTTTTGCTTTTTTTCTTTCCTTTTTTTAATTGTGAATTTAACAATATAAAGATGCTTCTACTGACATTTCGTTGTAGTAAAGGACTGTCAACAAAGTGGATATCCATCAACTAAAGAATGGCTGGGCAAATTATGATATATGGATGAAATGAAATAGTATAGCTCTGGAAGAAATGACAAATATAATGGATTCAGTGAAACCTGGGAAGATTTGTATGAACTGATACAAAGTGAAGTGAGCAGATTCAGAAGTATACAGTTTCTACTTTGAACACAATCACATAAAAAAAAATGACTTTGAAAGTCTTAGGTACTCCAATATATTCAATGATCAATTATGACTTAAGAAGACTAATGGTGAAGGATGCATGCTTCCCACATCTTGGCAAAGAGGTGATAAACTAGGTGTGAATGAGACATACATTTTCAGAAAAATCCAATATGTCAGCTTGTTTAACTTGACTATATTTATTTAAAAGGAGAGCGTCTCTTGTAGGAATTGGTGAGGAGTTGATGGGCAGTGATAATGATACAAAAAGAAGAAAGAAAAGAGCATTAAGAAAACATTAAAAATTCACAAAAAAAGATGAGAAAATTTCAGAAAGGGACAAAAACAAGTATGACCGTGTTGTTACTATCATGTTGAATTTAATAAAGAATAGTATGTAATAGAAACTCATTTTCTGAGGGGATGCCCATCAGTTGGGGATTGGCTGAACAAGTTATGGTACATGAATGTGATGGAATATTGTTGTGCTGTAAGAAATGATGAAGAAGATGGATGGTTTCATAAAAACTTGGGTAAAAATTTTTAAAATAAACAAAAATGTAAATAATCTTTAAAAAAAAACTTCAGAAGACTTGCACGAAATGATGTGAAGTAAGCAGAACCAAGAACAATTTATACTATAACAACAATATTGTAAAGAAAAACAACTTTGAAAGACTTGGGAACTTTAACCAACATAATGACCAACCACCTACAATTCCAGAGGACTTATGATGAAACATACTAGCCATGTCCTGATAAAAAGATGATAGACCCAGAGAATAGATTGAGACATTTTTTCCTGGACATGGCCAATACAGGAATTTGTTTTATTTGGCTACACATGTTTGTAACAAGTTTTATTTTTCTTGTCTTCATAATGGGAAGGGAAGAGAAAGGAAAGTAGGAGGAAGAGAGTTCAGATTGAAAATAAAATAAAATTTAATTTTAAAAAAGAGACAGAGGGAGGAGGGAAAGAAGGAAAGAAACATTAAAAAGTTCCATTTCATATGTAATCTTTTCTGTTCTTAGTATATTTAAATGCTTGTTAATGTTTAAGTTCACAATAAAAAAAAAGAGAAAAAAGATGCAGTAGCGCCCCTCCAAATTATTTTATATTTGCTTGCATGTGTTTATGTTGTTTCCTTCATAGAATATAATTATCTTGAGGACAAGGACTTTTATTTTTGTCTTTGTATCCTGATTAGGTAGAACAATGGATAGAGCACTGGACCTGAAGTCAGGAAGACCTGAAATCAAATTTGGCCTCAGATACTTATCAGTTATGTGACCCTGGGCAAGTCACTTAACCCGTCTGCTCAACTGTATAATGGGATAATAATAGCACCTACATCCCAAGGTTGTTGTGAGGATCAAATGAGATAATATTTGTAAAGCACCTGACACATAGTAGGCACTCAATAAATGCTTGTTCTCCTTCCCTGACTGCCTGGCACACAGCAGGTGCTTAATAAAATTACTTGTTTGTTGATTGATTGATGTCATATCAAAATAGCCTGAGTTTCCTCATTCTTCTTTGCTTGTTTTAACAAGTAGGCTAGAAGACAGAGGTTGTGGGTAACCAAGGTAGCAAAAGCAAGAAGGATATAGAGTGTGTGTGTGTGTGTGTGTGTGTGTGTGTATGTGAAAGAGAGAGGGGGAGGGGGGAGGTTCTAGTCCTAGTTCAGACACTGAAACTAGACAGATTCAGAGACTAGAAAAATCACAACCTCTCAACCTATTTCTTGATCTGTTAAATGGGATGTCATCCGGCTCTATGAGCTATTCTGCAGATACAATAAAGATAATTATTGGCTACCATAAAGTGCCATATAAATGTAAGGAATTGCCATCATTATTATTTAACGTGGCTGGGATGTGCAGTGTAGGAAGGCATATGGATAGTAGAGAGGCAGACTTCTCCCTGGTCTTTGTCACAAAATTTATAGGCATGTCAGAAACACTGGAAAAAATGGGAAACACTCATCAAGTTTATTATCTGCTTCTAAGCAGGACATCCCCTAATCCTTGTCCCCACTCCTAAGTGAACTCCAGGGGGGGGGAATATGACACTCTCCCACCCACCGGCAGGGATCTTAACAATAATTTGGTGGATCACGGATGTCATTAATGTGACAGCACGAACATCTCAAACTATCCTTGTCTTCTGATGTGACTCTGTTCTATGTCCTCTTACAAATCCTTCACAGGGGGTCCATCCAATATACTGGGGGTGGGAGGTGGGGGTAGCCTTCCTCTAATCTAGAGTCTGACAATGCATGAACACAGACACTGTCCATCTATGATCCTTCCCTCTCTCTTCTTGACCAGCCCTTCTTTCCCAACAGGAATAATTATCCCTTTCACTTCTACAGTATTTTAACTTTTAAAGAGCTGTCATTTCTAATCTCATTTTATCCGAAAGTAGAGAAGACACTATTCTTTCCACTTTACAGATGGGCAGACTGTACAGATGGATAAAAAGAGCCTTGTCCAAAGTTGCCTGGTGAGTGGACCTACGAACAGAAGGAAGACTGGCGCACTCCCAGTCCTCTCTCCTTTAGCGACTAGCTGAGGACACTGAGGCTATAGGTTCAGAACCACAGGCTCTCCTAGAATTGGGCTGGCTGCAAGGTTTCCCCCAATCAGAACTTACTCCCTCTCCTCAGTCCCTCCCTCCCCCTTTTGATGCCCTTCCCCACCCACAGTCTTCCCCTGGAAGAGAAAAAGCAGAAAACTTTTCCATGATACCTAAACTCCTCAGACCATTTTCTCTACCACCTCCCCTTCTCCTACAGCTCTCCTACCCACCACGTTCCCTTGTTTGGAGGGAAAGTCCAAAATGGAGAAATGTCAAGCCCTCCCCTTGGAGGAGAAACTCCCAAATACCAATTCTTACAAATCTCTGTGTCTCTTTAACCTTGTCTTGATCCTATGATCTTTTGCCGCGCCCCCTGCCCCTGGGACTCTCCATCTGTTTCTAGGGTTCCCCTCCCGAGCTCGTTTCTGTCTGTCTTGCTGATTCTATCAGTCTCTCTGGCTCCACCTCTCACTGTGTGTCTGTCTGTGTGCCTCATCTCCATCTCTCTGGCCCTCTCTGTGGTTCTCTTCTGTGTCTCTCTGTCTCGATCTCTCTTCTTCTCTTCTTTACCCCTGGTGAGTCAGAAACAAAGGAGGGAGGGGGAAGCTGCACAGTAGGTCGGGCTCCGCGATTCGCCCTTTATTCTGAACTCACGACGTCAGCGGGGCCCGGGCGGGCAACTGTGGATGGAGCTGCCTGGAGCGGACTGTGTTGCCCAGAGAGAGCCGGGTCGGAGGAGAGACCAGACCCTGAGCGGGCGTGTGTTTGTGCGTGCGCTGGGATCAGGATGGGAGGTGTGCGGGGGGCGGGATAGAGGGAGCCGAGGGGGGGCAGGCATGCTTGTGTGTGAGAGTGTGAGTGCGAGGGAGGCTGGCCCTTAGTGTAACCGGAGCTACAAAGAAGGGAGACAGGGAGAGTCTAGAAAAGGGCGGAGGAGGAGGCGGAGGAGGAGGCGGAGGAGGAGGCGGAGGCGGCGCCGGGGGCATCTCCAACACCCTCCCCCTTGGAACGAGCCACATCAAACCGGCCTCCGCCACCGGGACCCCGGGCCGGCCCCCCACCCCCTCCCCTCTGCCCGAGCCCACCCGGGATGATGAAGAAGAACAATTCCACCAAGAGGGTGAGTGTCTCTTGCTTCCTCTAATTCAGTTGACTTTCTCCTACCAGGACCCCCTCTATCTCCTTCCGGGGTTCCGGCCTGTTTTGAGGGGGGGCAGGGACCGTGGGAGCACAGAGTCTTGTCCCCTTCCCCCCACCGCGCCCGCTCCCCTTCCCCCCTCCTCCTTTGCCATCCCAGTCTGAAGATTTTACATTTCATTCAATTTATGGGATGCAGTTACCTCCCACGGATCCCTGAGCCTGTCATCCTAGTTGCTAACAAGAAGCTTCAGTATTTAGGGGTGCTTTTTGCTGGGGGGAGCCTAGTCAAGATGGATAGTACTTGCCTCAGCTTCTCCTCTACCCCCACCTCCTCTCCAATGGGAAACCAGCAGCAGTTTGCATCGTGCTCTGCAGTGGAGAGAGGAAAAAAAGACAATGAAAATAGAATAAAATGCCATTAACCCCAGGCGCTTCGGAAAGAGGAAAATGGGGGCGGGGGCGGGAGAAGGGGGAAAGAAGGACAGTGGGAGAGTCACCAGTTCCCACTTTTTCACACCCTCTCCCTCCCCAAGGCCTGAGCTCCCAGCCTCTGCATCCCCTCTCCTGGGTTGTTTCCGCTGTTTATCTCGGGCTGAGGGAGGTCATGATGGGGAAGGGGACTGACTGCCAAGAGTGAGGACCCGCGGGAACCTCACTGACTTCCCCCAGTCTCTCCAGCCCCTAGGGTGATCTAGAAGGCGGGGAGGGAGGCAGCTAGTGGAGAGTGGGAGAAAAAACAAATTAACACTTAATAATGTGCTTCTTATCTTCCCCAACCCCCACCCCCTGCGGCAGGGGCCCCAGGATGGAAACCATCAGTCCGCACTGCCTGAAAAGGTCGGCTGGGTGCGGAAATTCTGTGGGAAAGGGATTTTTAGGGAGATCTGGAAAAACCGCTACGTGGTGTTGAAAGGGGACCAGCTCTACATCTCTGAGAAGGAGGTAGGATTCCCTTGCCTCCAACCACTCCAGCTCTCCTCTCCACATTCCCTCATTCTCTACATCAGCCTTTTACATCCCCTCGCTTCTACCTCCCCACCCCCATCCCACCCCCATAAACCATATTTAGTATTCCCAAAGCAAGTTGAGGAAGCAGTCTATCTATCCTCCACCACACCTTGTCCGATGACAAGGTTGCCCTTCGCTGAGAAATGCCCTGAGTTGGGTGGCAGACGTTGAGTTTGAAGCCTAGTTGGTGGTTTTCCCTTTGCGTACATTTGTCCGATAACAAAAGGCGATTTTATCCCAAGACTTAAAAAAAACCTTCTGATAAATGGGGAGCCCTTCCCCCAATGTCCCTCCCACCCCACCCCCAGTCCTGTCTGCAGCCTCCATCTGCAGACAGAATTGTTTCCTCTGCTGCTGCCGAAACATTCTGCTCAGTCCACCATCACCCCCCCAACCCCCAGCCCCCAGCCAACTTCCCTCCCTTTTCCTGTTTCTATCGAGGCCATACATTGATCATATCAACAGCTCAGCTGCACTGAATCATAAGGGAGATAGAATAACACACAGAGGGCCCGAGATCACTGTGATATGTGAAAGTCAGTCCAACACGACCTGGGATAGAGCATATCGGTTTGTGAGCGCTGGGGGGTTCTATTTGTTAACTATTCAACTTAACAAACATTTATTAAGTTCTTATTGTGTGTCCATTATGCTCTTTTCCCTCCCTCACCTCCCAGGAAAAGAAAAGGGACAGAAAAAACTTCCAAGTCAATTGGGGACCAGAGGAAAGGTTACTTATCCCCTTTTTTGCCTCCCTGAAGGAAGAAACCAGAGGGGGAAAATGCAACCAACAATCTTTGTCTTTTCCCCCAGCCAGATCCAGTTCTGTTGTTGAACTAGAAACTTTAGTTCATGTTGGGTTAGGATACCCAGGTCCTGGTCATAAACCACGGACCCTTTACGCTCCCACTCCCTCTCCCTCTTCCCCATCCTCTGCTTTAGCCTGTGTGTTTCCTTGGAGGGAAGAAAAGGACTTAGTATCTCAAACCAGAGGAAAAAAAAGCTGACTTATAGACGGAACTCAGTTTGTAGAGTAATGAGAAATCTAAACTGACCCCCTGGCCAGAAGTCATTTCATCTCCCTTGCCACTTCTGTGTCACATAGCTGGGAGACTCTTCCTGGACTTCCCAGTCAAGATAGTTTGACTTCCTTTGCCTTGGCTCTCCGTACCAGCACTGACTGTGGGAAATCCTCCTTGAATTCTGGCTTCCCAGAGCCCCCTGCTTTCCTTATTCTGAAGGTTGTGAGTGGCTAAATAAATCCTTTTATGGTATTCATACACATTCTGGCCAAGCCTGGAGACTATAGGCACAGGAACAATCCAGGTTGTGGCAGAGTAGGAAAGACCTGGAAACCTTCTACCCTCAAAATTTCTTTTTAAAAGGGAAGCCTCAATTGTCCAAATCAGTGTGGGGCCTGGGTCTTTGTCTGAATACTGGAGAAAGTCTGGGTCCAGAGAAGAGGAAGAAAGAAAAAGGAATTGAGTGGATTTGTTTTTAGGGAGTTTGACAGGAAAATATCCCTTCAATGTCACATACACACATACATCCAATTCCTGCAGAGGATTTTCTCCACAGTATTCTGGCTTTCCTGAATAAGTGTCAAAGTGTATCATCTGTTTTCCCTGAACTTCATAATGGCAGGAAACGTCAGAGAACAGTCAGGGAGGACTTCCCACACGTCATATCACAAGGGGAAACACAAGTATGGTGAGGGGGAGGAGGGGATAGGAAGGAACAAAAGGAAACAGGGCATCCCTTTCTTGTCTGTGTTTTAGCAAGGGAGTAGTCATGGGGAGAGCCAGGGTGACTGACCCCTGCCTGTGGGAGAGGAAGGTTGGAGTGTGAAGGCAGAGGGAGGGATGGAATGACCTCAGGCAGAGATGTCTAGTGTTCTATGAATCAGTAGCATCTGGCTAGTTATGGGAGAGGTTATCTAAAATGAGGGATTCAAAGTGTGGCTTTGCTCCTCCAACAGAAATGATTAGGGTAGAAGAAGGCATCAGGTGATCTGGGAAACAAATAGGTCAATGTCTTACCGTATTTGTGAGGCATTTTTAGGCAGAAATCAGCCTAAGTTTTAGGGCCCCTAATAGGGCTCCAGATTTCATCTTGCCCATAGAGAAGAGTAGGAAAGTTGCCACACTTCCCTCACAACTTCTCCCCAGCACCCCAACTGGTGATCATGCCCCCATCTCAGGCCAAAGCAGCCCTTTTCCCCAAAGTATTTGAGCACTGACAGGACTGAGTCTTGAGGTCTCAAAATAATAAATAAGTTTGAAGAGAAGGTTAAAGGGTGGACATCCTAGAGAAGTTTTCAGCTTTAAATAGACTTTAAACTTAATTTAAAACTGCACTAAGATTTTTGTGACACACTGTATGTTGTATTTTAGGTCATTTGTAAGTTGTTTCATAAAAGATCAACAGTTACCATATATAAAGTGCGATATAAATGCAAGTCATGGTGATGATAATGATGATGCAAGAATGTCTTTGTCTTTATACCTACCACTCCTAGTAAATTTCCCATATTTGTCCTTCTCCTCCAATTACCTTTCAGCCCTAGGGACCATAGAACAGACAGGCAACCCCAGGAGGAAATACTGAGAGTTTCTTTAGGGGTGATATGACCTCTCAGAAATGCCCAGCCCAAAAGCAGCCTGTGTTGTTGAGAGTTTTTCCGATTCTTAGCACTAAGGTTCCATTTTCCAGAAAGATTTGAGGGTCCTCAAGATAAGTGGTGCTGACATTGCAGGAATATGAATCTCCCTCAGGAAGCCTTTGAAATAGCTGGAGCAAGAGGGTCAGGACAAGTCTTTTTGTTTTATAGACATCTATGCTTTTGCAGACCTGGGACATAGAGGCAAAGGAAGGGAAGGGGCAGTTTCAAAAGATCAATAATTCTGGAAGTGGCTTTTAGAGATTTTTTTTATGAAAAAAATAATAAATTCAAGAAGGAAACCAAGTTCTAGACTCCCTGACCCTGACCCCTTGAAGTGTCCACTCTTATACCACTTCTGTCTGTTTCTTCCCCCATCTTGCCTAGTATCCATCTCAATTTTCCCTTTTTCCTATAGCCTCTTCCAAGTTCTCAGTTCTGATTATAGGTGAACCCACTCCCCTCTTCTGGGGAAAAAAGAACAAACCACCCACTCTTATGCCCCTTCCCTTATACACACCCATTGCCTTCCTTTCCATAACTTCTGGTCTCTGTTGATATTCTCTGGGAAAGGAGGGGGAAGAGAAGTGACACACCATTGTATGTCCCTGCCCCATGTTTCTGGGAATTGTTCTTGACTTAGGAGCCCCTTGCCAGGGTCTGGCCACACCTCTACCAATGTGGCTTCAGAGTTTTTGATTCCTTTCCTCTCCCCAAAAAGTCTAAGGAGATAAGAAGAGAAGAGGTCTGAGAGACCCCAACCGTGAAAAAAATCCAAGTAGATGTGTAAGCCAGATTGTAGCTGGGAGGATGGGAGGATGAACTTTTTGTTACAGTGCTCAGTACTATAAAGCAGTTCTTGGTTCCAAAGGACAGGTAGACGGTGCAGAGTAGAGTTGGAGATAAGGGCTTAGGGACTGGTAGAGAAACCTGCATCTATCTGAGATGGTGCCAAGAGTTTTATTTGGAAGCAGGAGGAGGGGCCTCTGGAGTGCCAGGCTTGTAATTATAAAATGTATGTGACTCAGAATTCTGTTATCTGAGTGTGTGCATTTTGTTATCTCTGACACAGAGGGGGGACTCTGCTGTGCATGGGGCTGTGTCCCGGGGGGACTTGGGAGACGTGTAGCTACATGTAGTTGTGCATTTATCTGTAACAAAGCCAGCACTAGGAGACACACGTGGAGATTGGTTTGTGTTTCTTTCATCTCAGCTATTTCTCTTCCAGAAACCATGGCTTGCTTATTCTCAAAGGCACCCCTCACACCAGGCCTCCCAGCTAGTGGAGAAACAGTAACAGATGCCACCTTTTCCCCAACTATATACCCATTATGGACCTCCAACTGCTTCTAATGCCCTTAAGCACAGGCACAGCAATTGTGGGCTAATTCATTTGGGGAATTAAGACTGCCTCCTCTGACCTCCGTCCTAATCAGGCCCAAATGAACCCAAGAGCTAGTTCCAGGTCCCCCAGCTTCAGAAGACAAAGGAGGACACTCTGGGAAAGGATAGGAGAGGATCCTAAGAGAAAGTTTTAATAATGAACCTGGAGAGAAAGGTTAAGGAAGTTTGATTTGTTGTGATCAGAGAAGGCCATGGAAATAAGGGTCGATTCTTAGAAGACTACAACAGGAAAGATTAAGATTTAGATACAAGGGATATTTCTTAACAGTAAGGAACCTTCAATTCTCAAAATGGGGTGGTGCAAGGAGATTGTGCAGTATTTTCTTTAGAAGACTCTTGTGTCTCTACAAGTACCTAGAAGTACCTAGGTACTATGCCCGTACAGGCAGAGGCAGCATGGGAAGAGCCAGAATAGCAGTTCATTGCAAGAAGCCTTGGGCTTACTCTAGAAGGCCTGGGATTCACCACTTCCTAGCCTATGACCTTGATTTAGTAAGTCATCCAACCTCTAAAGAACTCAGTCTTCTTGTATGTAACATGGGACTAATAATGCTTGCAATACCTACCTCATAGTGTTGTTGTAAGGAAAACACTTTGTGGGCTGTAAAGTGTTGTATGCATGTTAGCTGTTGTTATTGTTAGATGATTTTATAGACTCAATGAGTCTAGATTGAATTGACACAGGACTTTAAGGGGGCCTGAGTTTGAGAAGAGGGGAAGCATTTGTAGTTTTTAGCTGTACTGAACAAACTTTGCGGCACAGGGAGTGAGTCTCCGTTGCTGTAGTAATCTGGCTCCTGAAATACAACAGGCAGATGAATGTCTTTATAAAAAGGTTTAGTAAAGGTGGGGGCTGAGAAGGGGCAGAGCGAGGGGCACCCAAAGTGAATGTCACTATAGTGGGAGGCCACACGTGGATCCTCCCTACCCTTAACCTCTCTTACCTCCTTCCTTCTAAGATCATGGACCCATTCATTTGGAGAATTGATTAAGATGATTTCTGCTGACCTCTGACCTAATCAGACCCAAATAAACCCAAGAGCCAGTTCAAGGGTACTGTTCAGAAAACAGTAGGGGACGCTCTGGGAAAGGATAGGAGAGGACCCTAAGACAAAGTTTAAAAAATGACCCTGAAGGGAAAGATGAAGAGAGTTTGATTTGGCAGCCTCTAGAGATTCCAGAGGCTGTCCCTGCCTTCTCCAGACTAAGGGATGAGCTTAGCCACTTAAACCATGTCCTCTAAAGGAGAAGGGAGAAGAGGGGAAGAGTGGGATTGAGAAAATGTGAAGTCTGTTCTGGTGGAAAAGAATAGGGAAATAGGGTACTTATGAACAAATCCTCCAGCTAGGAGTTAACAAATGAGCCCTCCCAATTCCTCCCTTCTCTGGGGTACCTTCTCAGAGCCTCCTGACTTGCAACCACCCCAGACTTTCTTGTTTTTGGTTTGTTTTTTTTTCCTCTCCCTGGGCTGGTTTGAACCAATGAGTTAATGGGGGAAAGGGCCAAATAATTCTTATCTCCCCCCACACCAATTCACCCCGCCCCCGCCCCTTAGATAAAAGATGAGAAAAATGTCCAGGAAGTATTTGACCTGAGCGACTATGAGAAATGCGAGGAGCTTCGGAAATCCAAGAGCCGGAGCAAGAAGAATCACAGCAAGTTTACCCTGGCACACTCCAAACAGCCTGGGAACATGGTATGTCGTCCCTACCGCCTTGGCCCCCTGGACGCTTATTGTACACAGCGCTGTGGAGAAGATCTCTCCCATGCATATGCTCACTGTTTCTCTCAGTGAGTTCTCTTACCTCCCAAGTCTACAGTCCCCAGGCTCCCCCATCAACTTTGACCTTTTCTTGGAGTATTCATCCCTCAATCTTCCCCGGTCCCTCAGGCTCTTCTCCTCTGCCCACTGATACCCATCCTATCTTCTTAAATGTGCCCAGAGAAGAAAGCCCCTTTACTTCTCTTGGGAGAGAATGCTTATATTATCCCTAAGAGGCAAGTAGTAGCCTAAACCTATTTCCTTTTGTCTAAGTGACCACACAGCAGCTACTCCCATTTCCTGGAAAATGTTCCTTCATACATGTAAAGACCTTTTTTTTTTTGCCTGTCCTTCACTGCCCCCCAACCACCAGCCTTCTCTTCTCCAGCCCCATAATCACCTGTGTCCCTCTCAATATTCTCTCCTTCACATCCATAGTCCATTTGAGCTTAGGGGCCAGGACAGCAAAGCCCAAGACTCTATCCTGTACAAAATTCATAATCACTTCAAAGACAGAGTGCCCAGTTGTACATTTTTGTAGGGGGGCATAATGGCATCCCTAAAGAGTTGGTGTGGGTTTGTGGGGAGGGGGAAGAGAAGGAATGATGACAGAAATAGAATCTCCCTCCTGGAAAAGGTGGGGCCAAAACAGATAAGACATCTTAGTATTTTCACTATTAAGTCTCCAAGGCAACCTCAGGGATAGGGGCATTAACTGTAACCCCCAGGTTATAACCAAAATCTTCACCCCCACCCCCAACCAGGCACCCAACCTGATCTTCCTGGCAGTGAGTCCAGAGGAGAAGGAGTCTTGGATTAACGCCCTCAGTTCTGCCATCACCCGAGCCAAGAATCGAATCCTGGATGAGGTTGGTGAGGTTGGGATCAGTGTGGAGATGGGCAGGTCTAGTTAGCACCAAGAGGAAAGCTGAATTAACTAACTGGCCCCATTGACCTGCTCCCCTCCAACTCCCTCTCTCTCTCAAACTCATGCTTATCTCCTCCTAACCCCTTCACAGTTCTCTCTTGTCCAGGTCTTCTATTCTAACTTTGGGATGTGAGGGCCAGAGTTTAGGGACCAGATTAGAGATTCTTTCAAAACTAGGATATCCTGAAATCCAAGGGATGTATTGTGGGACAGGTCACAGGATCTGTTCCCCAGTGCAAGTATTTTCAGGGAAGTTGAGACAGAAGGAGGGAGGCTGTAAGGAACACAAGTCTTCTCATCCGCAGGTCACTGTTGAAGAGGACAGCTACCTTGCCCATCCTACCCGTGACAGAGCAAAGATCCAGCACTCTCGACGTCCCCCCACCCGAGGACACCTAATGGCTGTGGTACGTAAGAATATCAGAATTTCCATACTAGCTGAGATTCCTCTTCCATCCAGGTCAAGGTTTTATCTTGTAAAATGGCACCAGGGTACATCTTTGTGGATGGGTGTGATAATCCTGCTTGCCATCAGTCTCTAAAGGTTGTGTACATCATAGAACATCCTAGTTTCCCTTAATGCTTTATGGATCACTACCAAACCCTTAATTCAATAAATATTTAAATACTTAGCATTTACCACCTGCCTAGAAAGTGTTAGGTTGTAGAACATGCAAAAAAAATTTTAATACATAATACATCAAGTCCTTACCCTCAAGGAATACTGTCTAATTGAAAGGTCAATCAATCACCAAGCATTTATTAAATCCCTGGTAAGTGCTGGAAATACAAAGACAAAAATAAAAGTCCTGGAACTCAAGAAACATTTTATTAGGGGAGAAAGCCTGGTCACATATAAGTATAAATAAAATAAAGGAAATCTATGGGGGTAGGCACTAGTAACTAGGGGCAGCAGGGTTTGGAATCAGAATGTAAAAGGCAATGTCTGAGCTGAGTTTTGAAGAAAAGCAGGGATTGATTCTAAGAGGTAGAATTTGGTAAAGAAGAAGCACATTCCAGATATGGAGGACAGACAGTGTCTATGCCCAGAGATGGCAAATGAAGTACTGTATATGAGAAATAGCAGGGGCAGCTAGGTGACGCAGTGGATAGAGCACTGATCCTGGAGTCAGGAGAACCTGAGTTCAAATCTGACCTCAGACACATAAACACTCACTAGCCGTGTGACTCTGGGCAAGTCACTTAACCCCAATTGCCTCACCAAAAAGAAAAAAAAAAGAAAGAGAGAGAGAGAGAGAAATAGCAGAAGGCCAGTTTAGACTGAAGAGTGTATGTAGGGAAATAATGAATAAAAACCTAGAAAAGTAGATTGGAGCCAGATTGGGAAGGGCTTTGAATGCCAGAAAAGTTTATATATGATCCTAGCAGCAGACATGTGACATGGTCAGTCTAGTACAAGGGTGGGGAACCTGTGGCCTCGAGGCCACATATGCCCCTCTAGGTCCTCAAGTGCAGCCCTTTAACTGAATCCAAACTTCACAGAACAAATCCTTTTATTAAGGGCTTGAGGCAGAAGGTTCCCCATCCCTGGACTAGTACTTTAGGAATATCACTTTGGTATTTCTGTGGAAAAAGGATTAGAGACAGAAGACCCTTGAGTCAAGGAGAGAGGAAAAATATGAAAATGTAAGTAACATTACACGAATTAAAAAAAAGAATACTACAAGAGACATCATGAGATAATATGAGAAAATGTCAACCAGGTGACTTATCACTGGGTTGTTGTTAGGCTCAAATGAGGCAGTGTATATATAAAGCACTATATAAATGTCAGTGTCGACTAACGTATTCTTATAAGTTTGCTAACCTGCTATAGATTTGTCCATGTTTCAAAGGGGTTTAGTATTCTGAATATTGTTGTTTTATTTTGGGGTATTTTTTTAAGGTCTCAGTATGAGGTTGGGGAAATCAGGATAGTAGAGGGAGCTGGGTCATGTAGCTAGAAGGAGGAAGGGAATAGGTATTTATATAGCACCTATCAAGTGCCAAACTAAAGTGCTAAGTCCCTTTTACAAATATGACCTCATTTGATTCTCGCAACAGCCCTTTGAGGTAGGTGCTATTATCATCCCCGTTTTACAGTTGAGGAAACTGAGGTAGATAGAAGTTATGTGATTTGCACCAGGTTACCTAGCTAGTAGAGTCTAAGGTCAAATTTGAACTCCAGCCCATCACTCTGTCTACCATACCAATAGATGCCTCAGTACCCACTGCCCTTCCACCCCCACCCACTCAGAGGGATGTGGATGAGGAGATACAGAATATCTTCTCAGTCTGGAACCTTACATTGGGTGCTTGGGGCAAAGAGAAGTGACCCAGGCTTCCCTCCACATGAAAAATCATTACACCAATTCAAGTAATCAAGTATAAATTATCATCATACAGTTAGGAAAGAACCTCAAAGGCAGGTACTGCTTCCTCCCTGTCTTCAACGCTCTAGTGCACAGTAGGCATCTAATAACTACTTGTTGCATGGAATTGGAGTTGGAGAAGGCGTCAGCCAGAGAGGAGGAATGTTTGCCCGAGTAGTCCTTCCCAATATCTCTATTCACGACCATGGTCATTGTACTTCCTGATGCAGGCCTCAACCTCTACCTCTGATGGAATGTTGACCTTGGACCTGATCCAAGAGGAGGACCCCTCCCCTGAAGACCCCACTTCTTGTGCTGAGAGCTTCCGTGTTGACCTGGACAAGTCAATGGCCCAGCTGGCAGAAGGCCGGCGACGGGCAGACTCAGACAGAATACACCCCGCTGTGGACCGGGGCTGTAGCTTTCCCCGGCCCTGGGAGAAGCCAGATAAGGGGGCCCCCTATACTCCCCAGGCTCCCAAGAAGCAGACGCCCTCAGAGAAAGGACGATGTGCTTCCTTGGAAGAAATCTTGTCTCAGCGGGATGCTGCCCCAGCCCATGGCCTGCTACAGCCTGAGAATCACTCTACCCCAACCCCACCTCACCCTGGACAGCTGTCCCGGATCCAGGACCTGGTAGCCAGGAAACTGGAGAAGACTCAGGAGCTGCTGGCAGAGGTGCAGGGGCTGGGGGATGGGAAACGAAAGGCCAAGGACCCTCCACGTTCTCCCCCTGACTCTGAGTCAGAACAGCTGCTGCTGGAGACAGAGCGACTGCTTGGGGAGGCATCATCCAATTGGAGCCAGGCAAAGAGAGTACTGCAGGAGGTGAGGGAGCTGAGGGACCTGTACAGACAGATGGACCTTCAGACCCCAGACTCCCAACTCAGACACACTACTCAGCACAGCCAGTACCGGAAGAGCCTGATGTGAGGGGGCAAGAAAGAGGGGTCTAGGACACATTGGAGGGAGGGATGGGCAGACACTGGGATAGGGTTTGTTTTGTTTTATTTTGTTTTTTAATTTACCACAATCAAAAAAAAAAACAAAAAACAACTCATGGCTCCTGCTGGTGCCTAATCCTCCCTTGATCCCTCCCCCTGTCCCCCCTGGAGCCATAAACTGGGCTCAGATTTGAGGGAGAGGTATTCTCTACTGAATGGTAAAGATCTGGACCCAAAGAGGAGAGAAGAGATGTTGGAGACTATCTGACTCCACTACTAGAGACATGAGGAGGAGGAGTGAGAACCAGTCTCTCTGCAGTCCCCCACCCCAACACAGAGGCTATGTGTTTATGGTTCAAATCCTAGTTTGATGGGAGCAGAAGGAATAATCATTTTGTGCCCTTACCCAGGGTGGCCTCTAAGGCCAGAAAGTCCAGACTCTGGGGAGGCGGGTTCTACTTCCATCTGTTTCAACCTTTGGTATCGGTAAAGGGAAGGGGGCTCAGAGTGGAGAAAGAAGGATAGTCTGTAGAATCCAAACAGCAATCAGATGTGATCTTTCTAACAGCCCCTCATTGCGATTTAAGCTCCCTCTCTTTCTCTTTTATTCCTTATTCTGGTATTTACTTCTCCCTCCACCCAAAATGAGTTTAAGGATGTGATGCTTGTGGTGTTACCATGAAGAGGTGGTAGTATTCTCTTTGCTTCTCCAGAGGGTGGGGCTTCTCTAGCAGGGGAATGAGGGACAGCTGACCCCAAGGGAGAACTGATCTAAGAATGAAACTTGGTTGTGGAGCATGCTGGGTAAGAAAGAGGGGAAAAACCAAACACGTGTTCATGTTCCTCTTTTAGCCAAGCCAGAGTTTTCTGGGTCCTTCCCCCTACTCTGTCTGCCCCCAAGACTGCTTGTCCCTGTCTGTGAAAGGGAGTCCCTACCAAGGAAGGAGTTCACTCGCGCATGCACACACACACACACACACACACACACACACACACACACACAC